GACTCTCTCATTCTGCCAGTTTTTCTGTCTTTAGTGTCTTTCTTCCTTTATATATATATGCTTAGTAGGAAACTCTGTTTTGATTTCTTGCCACTTTTCTTTCCCCTTCTCATGTCCCTTTCCTATCTTTTACTTTTCTCTTCACCTCTTCTTTCCAGATATTTTTTTTCATTGATTTTTCCCTCCTGCAATTGACTTAGTGTGGAATTTATCCATTTTATTTATTTATTTTTATTATTATTTTTGGGGGGTGGAGAGAAGGGGGAGAGAGAGACAGATAATCTTAAACTCAGTTTGGAGCCTGACCCAGGGCTTGAACTCACAACCCTCAGATCATGACCTGTAATTGAGAGTTGAGTGCTTTAATAGACTGAGCCACCCAGGTGCCCTGACTTAGTATGCACTTATATGTAAACAGATAGATTTTTACATTCAGAACTTGTTGAATAAGACTTATATCATCTATTTACAATTTTGAAGTTCAACATTGAGTTGCATACTTTGTGCTTCTTTTTATTTTTTATTTTATTTATTTTTTTTAATTTTTATTTATGACAGTCACACACACACGGAGAGGGAGAGAGAGAGAGAGAGAGAGAGGGGGGCAGAAACACAGGCAGAGGGAGAAGCAGGCTCCATGCACCGGGAGCCCGACGTGGGATTCGATCCTGGGTCTCCAGGATCGCGCCCTGGGCCAAAGGCAGGCGCCAAACCGCTGCGCCACCCAGGGATCCCTGTGCTTCTTTTTAAAAACCAAACTGGTTTTAATTTGAATGTTCTGCTCAACTGATTCTTCCTCTTCCTCTCCCATCATCTACTAAAAACAACTGTGTGTATGTGTGTGTGTAACTAGGGAGAATTTTTTGTACAAAAATAGACATGGATACATAGTGCTTTGGTGGGGAAAAAAGGCCTCAAACAACGTTAGATTTTTTCCCCAGGAAAATATTCATTGTGCATAAGCACACAATAAAATTTTAACTATTCTAATTTCCTTTTTCCAATAGAGAAGTTTTGCTGATATTTCCCTTAAAAAATACAGCTTGTTATATAGTACCTTTTAAAGCATCTCACAGGATTCATAAACTGCTTCACAAAATGCAAGTCTACAGAGACAAGTCTATGCAAGTCTAAAGAGTCCTATATTCTTTAAGCCTGTAAAATTCTTAAAAATTTTCCATTTCCTTTCTTACAGCAGTATAGTTATTAATTTTATTTTCCCTTCCCTTTTATTCCATCTTCTATCTTTTTTTTTGTTCAATTTATGCCATTTCCCTCTCTAGATGTATTTTTACCTCGCTTTCTTTAAGTTTTTACAGATTGGATAACATAAAGATTAGTTTTTCAATGTCTTCTTCCTCATTCAGTTTTTCTCTTTTCATGTCTATGCTACATCCTCTCATTCCTTTTATTATTATTATTATTCCTGCTTAATTCACTTCTACAGGCTTCCCTTAGGCCCAATTCAATATCTTAGAAGAAAAGAGTTCTTTTCCAGCACTTCATTTCTGTAATCATTTGAAACCTACAAGCCATTTGGAAAAAAATCATGTTTTAATGCTTCATAATGAAAATTCTTCTTTTCAATCTATTTCAACTGTCCTCAAAGATACTAAGAATTGTTTGAAATTATATTTGGTTGAATAATTCATTAAAATGAGTATGGAGTGGGAAGAATCAGGGTATGGCTAGAGCCAAGGTGAGCTGCAAATAATGCAAACAGTGGAAATATTTCAAGATGGGTTTTCAAAATTCTTCTACGTTTTAAAGCTCAAAGAATGAGTAGAATAAATCAATGTTAGAATAGATGAGAACTTGGGGGGAAATCCGAGAGTTATAGCTCTGTCTATTGTAATTTCTTTAGCATCTCTAATGTTTATATGTCACATTAATGTTATAAATCACTACTTCATAATGTGACCATGTTCATTTTTGTATAAAATATTCTCCCAAGTTTCCAATTAAAATAGTTGATTCTATTAGGTGACTTTTTTTTTTTAAATGTGTCTTCCAGTTCATCTAGCACCTTAGTCAAGTATCCATAGGTAGAAGGGCCCAGTTTGATAAGCTCAGCATGAGAGCAGGAAAGTTGGGACATCTAGTTCAACCTGTTCACTGTCTTGCTTCCTATCAGTATTCCCATCATTCACTGGAAATGATGGTACTAGAATGAGGTAGATGGTGGAGGTGGAGGTGGTGGCTGCCTCTCTGATAGATGGCTACGTAAAAATGCAGTGAATTGTTTGGCTAGAGAATGAGTTGCCTTAAGTGGAGGTGTTTAAACAGAGACACAATGAGGCTATATTGGGAACTTAAGCCTCAGTTGTTGAATAAGACTGTTTCTATCAAGAAATCTGGCTTTTATGGTAGAATAAAAGGAAATTTTTATTTTCCTATGAGACAGTCTGTTGTTATTAAATTGATCCTATACACTAAGATATAAAAAATCTAGTAGTTTTATTAGGGTACTTAAACCAACAGAATAAGAACTCCAGTAGTAGCAAAAATTGGAGATAATATTCTTGAATATAAAATTTACTGATAAAATATTTATAAATAAAAATGTATTAAGTGCTTGGGTTTTACTGGGAATAATATTAATTGCTCTTACGAAAATATAAACAAGCAAAAGCTGAATTGGGAGTATATTGTCCTTTGGCTAAGCAGCCATAATGTGTTGGGTAGAGAAAATGAAGAGTTCACTGGGGACAAAAGGGCAGAGAAGAGCTGAGAATAGGCTGAGACGTTTTTTCTTCTGTCCTTGACCTGTTGCACTGGTTTTTACTGGATCATATTACCTGCTACTGCCACAGCAAGCTAATCAAAGGTGCTCTTGGGACCATTTTCAGGCCTTCTTTATTTCTACTACTGTCTTGGCTTCTGTGTAGCTTGGGAGTCTATGGGAATACGTCTGTATTCATTCCTTATTTAACATTCAGAAAGACAAAAAAAAAAAAACATTCAGAAAGACATGCTCTGAGGTTAGAGGTGGTATAAATTGTTTCTCTCTTTTAAAATGCTGGTACAGGGGCAGCCCCTGTGGCGCAGCGGGTTGGTGCCGCCTGCAGCCCAGGGTGTGATCCTGGAGGCCCGGGATCGAGTCCCACGTCGGGCTCCCTGCGTGCAGCCTGCTTCTCTCTCTGCCTGTGTCTCTGCCTCTCTCTCTCTGTCTCTGTCTCTATGAATAAATAAATAAATAAAATCTTTAAAAAAATAAAAATAAAATGCTGATACATCTAATACCTTGCTACTCAAAATATAGTCTATGGACCAGTAGGATTCTGCAGCCTGGACATCATCTGGGAGCATGTTAGAAATGCAGAATCTCAGAATCTCTCTTCCACCCTGATCTACGGAATCATAATCTGCATTTTAAGGAGATCTCCATGGAATTTATATGCACGTTAATATTTGAGAAGTAACTGATTTAACATATTTAGTTCCCATTCCTGTAGGGTGTCATCTATTCCCAGTGTGTCAGCAATTTCCTAGAAAGGGTTTAATTGGGGCTGTGTTCTCTCTTAATTAATCTGTTAATACATTATCACATTTAATCCCCACAAAAAACCTTCACAATACCTTAATCCTTATATTGCAGATGAGACAGTTAAGTAACTTGTCCGAGGTCACACAGCTAATAAATGGTGGAGATGTTCTACTTGAGTCTGACTTGTTCTCAAATCTTTTTTTTTTTCTACACCACACTGCTTTCTCTTGAACTTAATCATTATTAACTGTTTATGCATTAAGAGAATAAAACCCATAAAAAATTAAAGGTTTTAAAGAGAGCTTTTAAAGAGGGCTTTCAATCATTCAAAGATTATTTCAAAGACTGTATCACGTTTCTGGTGATAAAGCAAAGAAGACAGAATGAAGTGCAATTGGTCCCTAGTTTTTGGTGTAATTTGGGGGAAGTGAGAGGACTGTACCTTGTCATGCACATTGCTTGTCCTGCCCATCAGCTGACCTGCATCTTGTTGCTGCTGAGGTAGGTTCCATCTGTTTAAGGCTGTGTTGAGCCAGGTGCTAAGAGCAGTACTGATTGTATTATGTTGAGGCTGCCCATATGCCTCCACACAAACTGTAGTTCAAGAGCTGTAAAACTGTTTGCATTCTAAATCCATCAGATGGCTTTGAACAAAACCAGTGCCAATAAGGCTATTTGAATGCTTTATATTTGGCAAAAGAGTGGAGAAATTATGGCCACCAACCAAATTATTCGGAAATATTGTATTTTCAGAATAGCTATATTTTCCAGGGAGAGGTGCAAGTGAAGAAACCCCATAAAATACTGGAGATGGCCCAGGTCACCTTTTGTTCTTGGAAAACTCCAGCTGCAAAAACAGAGAATAAAATCTAAAGTAACTGACATCTGCTTTGAGACTGGAGGATCCTGTGTCACCTTAGCTCTGGGCTTGTAACCCAGATGGACTTGTTTCAGGCTGGCAAACATCTACTCTGTGCTATCCACACTACACAAACGTTTGTTCTTGGAACTAGATAATGATTTAAAAATGAGCAGTGAATTAGAAGCATGAAGTGAGTGTGGGACATGTCCCAGTAACTTTAGAACTCCGCCTGTATGGGGGGGGGGGCAGTTTTCAGGTGGATCAAGGTAGGGGAAGCGCTGTTTCTTAGTCAGTCCCGGCGATTCTCGCAACCGAAGGGGACTCTGTTGGCTCAGAGCGTGTAAGCTTGTCTCAGAGCGAAGACATATCTCACTGTGGTCTCTTTCTTGTGCATTGGCCAGCCTTGCTTTCAACTAAAATGATAACCTCGAGGACCTCCAAGTTTCGGAGCTCGCAGAGGGGACTGGCCGCCCTAGGGCGGGGCCTGATCGGGCGCCCTCCTCACGTGCTCCAGTCCCCCCGTCCTTCCCTCTAGCTCTCTTCCTGACGTTAGCAAAGACTGAGTGAGAGAGGAGCCCCAAGGGCTCATTTACTTGGAGGCCCCACCCCTCTATTCAGAGTCACTCAATCCGGAGAACTCAGAGTCGTCCTCAAGAGTAAAGTTCTTTGAGTTATTTATATATATATATTACAAAAGGGCAAACTCATCCTAAATGTCAGTCCGATATCCACGGAGGCGAGAGACAGCAGGTAATTAGAAGCAATTAGTCGTCCCCCTGCCGGGAAGCCAGGCAATTACCTTTTTCTCTCTTCCCCTTCCGTCCTTCCTTCTCCCGTGGAAGCGATGGAAGTGTTTTGCTCCCCAAGCAGCAGCGTGCGCCGAGCTGGCACGGGAATGAGGGATGCACCGAGCGGGATTCGGTCTCCCCCTCCCGCCGCCGCGGTAGCCGCGGGCAGAGCAGTGCATTGTGGAGGCCGAGCGCGCCGCGGCGGCTGGAGCGGCGGCCCCGGGATCGCGCGCCGGGGAGCTGTCCGCGGTGCTGACCAGCCCGGCGCACGCCCGCCCGCGCGCCCCTCTGCCAAGGACCCCAGGTCCTGGCCTTCCTCCCACCCTTCCGTCTGCGGGTCTCTCCTCCTCGCCTAGGGGCGGAGCGGCTGGAGGAAATCATGGTGTTCGCTCCAGGTATCCCAGCACCTTGCTTTTTCACCAGGTGCCCAGGCGGGGAGCGGGGAAGAGAAGGGAGAGCATGTAGGGAGAAAAGGCCTTTACCTTGCCTCCCATCCGCGCGTTTGGGAGTTACTGTCTGTAAGCTAGGGGCGGGAGAGTGCCTCTGTGCGGAGTCGGCCCCCCTCCCCCCAGTCCCGTCCCATCTGTCCTCCAACCATCCCCAGCAGCAGTCCCGTCGCTGCTCTAGCCGCCTGGTCCCTCCACACCCTACCCGAGCTCAGGCACCTTGAGAACTGGGACCTTTGCCAGACACACAGGCGCCTACGTGGGCTGGAGAGTGGAGAGATCCGGCCAGGAGTCGTGGGCTTCAGGATACTTCGGTGGGGATCTTCTTCCCTGCCACTTCCGCCTCTGAAAAAGTGGCAGAGTGACCCGGTCCCTCCCGATGTCCTGAGGAAAGAAGTGGGGAAGCCCACGGGACTGGGACGAAGGGCAGAAGAGTGTTACTCCTCAAGGAATTAGACCTGAAACTCTGGCTGGAGGCTGCAGCGCGGAGGCTGCTACTGCGGCGCCGGCGCCGCTGGCTGTTGCAGTGTCTTTTTGGAGCTGGCGGTGAAGGACTTTGGTCCCTTTGCTGCTATCTCTGGCTACAGCTTGGCGAAGAGTCAGATTTACCTGTGGTTGCTTGGCTTACTGGTGTGTGTGTGTGTGTGTGTGTGTGTGTGTGTGTGTGTGTGTATTTGAGTGATGGGTGTGTAAGTTGAGCAGCGGTGGGGGAAAGCATGGTCACTGTTAACCTACGAAGCTGTTTCTAGGGGGTAAATACAAGGTCTTTCTCTCAAGTTCCAGGCTCTGCTTTCATAAAAGACTGCTGTGGAGGAAAAGGGGGAGTATGGAAAAGAGTAGAGGGGATGAAAACTTAAGTTTGTTATGGTTCTTTCCCTTGAAAGGTTCTTTTGCGTTTGCTATAGCCATTGGACCTCAGATAGCTGGGGAGGAAAAGTGTAATGCAATTTTAAAAGGGAAGAATTGAGTCTGGGTTTCAAAACAATTCACATAGCAAGACTTAACATCCCCCGGGATGTCAGCTGAGGCAGGAGTGAGTTTCTGTCAGTTCTAACACTCACCACAAGGCAGTGACTCAGAGGATGACTTAGAGGAAAGTCCAGAGGCCCTTCTGTTGACCATCCCAAATAATTCAAGGCAAGGGGAAGTCCTTTTGTACAGTGAAGGACATTCAATCAACACAGGATCTATGAAGTTGAAAAACAACAGTTCTTTGTTACATTTATAAACTGCTTACTTACCTCTTTATAAAGCACTTTTATGCCATTATTTCATTTGATCTTCAAATTATCCTCTGAGGTAAGCAATATCATTTCCCTTTTACTAGCCCCAGGAGGCTAATTTCAGGTAGTCTTGCCAGCCTCAGCTGGAGTTTTCTGAATCCTCTGAATCTCTTTTTGCCTATACCTCGGAACCTATCTGCTTGACAAAATGCCTTTTCAGTTTCCGGGATAGCTGCTTTTTGGTCCAGGCTCAGATGTATCCAAAGGGAATTGTCCTTCACTTCTGAGGTGAGGATGGGCTAGTGTTGTCCCCAGTTAGTGTTGTTGGGTGAAATCAACTAGGCATTTTCTAAAGGCATGATTGTGAGTGAAAGACTGTGTAATGAGCAGTGAGTAATTCCTGGAGTGGATTGAGCTGACTTAAGCAGACTACTGCTTGGACCGGGCATTAGTTTTCCATTTTTCTTCTAAGTTTTGTGTTAGTTTTTCATTCCCTGAAAGGAAAGTAGAAGTTATTCATAACTGTCAGAGAAGGCATAAATTGTCCTGGATAGGATACGTTACGGAAACCTGTGGGGAAACACTTTTTGGGTCATTTCTTCAATTTTGACTTTCTCTTAAAAATTATAAGCATTTTGGGGCAATAAGAATAGAGTGCTTAAAGTATTGTGTCAGCTTACCTTTTCATTTACAGATCACATGTCTTCCAACACATATAGTGATATTATTCTATTTTTTAAAGATTTTATTTATTTATTCATGAGACACATACACACACACACACACACACAGAGAGAGAGAGAGAGAGAGAGAGAGAGAGAGAAGCAGGCTCCCTGCAGGGAACCCTACATGGGACTTGATCCCAGGTCTCCAGGGTCACACCCTGGGCTGAAGGTGGCGCTAAACCGCTGAGCCACCCGGGCTGCCCATTTTGATATTATTCTAAAAGAATACTGAAACAATCAATCGTTTTTGAACTCAGCCAGATTTTCATCATTACTGTCTCATTTCTAGGACTATTGCTTTTCTAAATCTCTATAATCAGAGATACAGATGTTTTGTACTAGTCAAGGCAAATATTCCGCCGCCCCCCCCATTTTCTCTAAGCCCACCCAGGAAGGGAGAGAACAGAGGCATGTGCTATCATTATTCCAAAATTAGTAAAGTAAAGTAATAATCCCAAATGAGTATAATAATAAATTAACATCGAGCTGTTCATAAAATTGGGTCAGTGGGTACTGTGCCCTTCTAAACCCATTGTAGCTCTTTGGATTTTAGCAAAGGGAAGCAAGAACCCTGAGCTTTACTTCTGGCTTTGCCTCTGCGATTGACCTGCCTTGAATGATTCTACTGCTCTTTGGTTACCTTAAAGGCAAAGGTGAAAAGTGACAGAGATTCAGGAAGCAAATTTCAGCCCAGAAGTACAATGTAATGAGGGAGAAATGATTGGGAATCTATATGACTGTAGTTAGGATTCACTCTTATTGCATGGTATAAAACAACCTTGCATTCTCTTATTTCAATTAGTCTACAGAATATAAGGAATATGGCTCAAGTTGGGCAGGGTTTTTGAGTGGTTTCTCAGCTTACATAGGGCAGACAACTCAATTCTGTACTTTTCCTCCTTCTTATGCCATTCATAGACTTTGTAATTTAGGAGGATTTTAATTTTGTGCATTTTAATATTTAAACTCCTTAATAGTAAGGGACTATGACTCCTAATTACTTAAGGATTCAGTTATCTAAAACCTATCATGCATTTCTTCTTCCCTCTAAAGGAATGATGTAAAATTAATAACAGTTAAATGAGGAATAAAGTATAAATATATTAATTCCTCTGTAAGTACCATCTATCCCTACATATAGGTTAAACCAAGCTGAGGCACATGGCTGAGGTGAAAAACAAGCTGAGGCCCCTTGCTTTTCTTAAATCTCTTATCTATTCCTCCTCCTTCATTTCCCCAAAACTGAAGATGGAATCTTTGTAGAGCAATGTGAGAAGATTAAGAAGCATATCAATGGTGCCAAAGGAAAGAGGATAAAACAACAGATATGGAAAAATTTTTTGGCTCTGGTGCATAATACTTAACTGACCCAGGTTACTTAGTCTGTGGCTCTGAAAAAGCTTCCTTTTGAGAGGAAAAAAAGTTTTGGGATATCTGGATTTTATATGTGGTACTTCTGTTTTTGTGGAGGAAAATCAAGGCATTTTTACCAATTTTTGGACAAAGTCAAAGTAGAAGAAAGGAAGAAAACCACTGGGCACTGGTGTTGAAAGTGAAAAAGTATAGAAGAAAATTTCAGGATATTTCTTGGCCTGTTCCAGGATGAGAAAGGGTATGTTCACAGATTCAAGTGTTTTTTCAGTGCCCTGGTTTCATCCAAAGAATTCCAGAGTCTGAACAATCAGATTAGCAACTCCTCCCTTGAGGAAGAGCTAATAAAAAATAGACTGTGAGGTATAAAGTGAGAACAGAAGTTTCCTTATCCCCGGGCCATTCCACATATCCTCGAATGACTGGTATATACTTCAAGAATTAATGTACTTCTTTTTGTGGATGGATCTAAGATATACTTGACTTGTTTGAATTGCCTTCAAGTAAGATGTATTGTCAAGAAAAAGATCTTTTTTCTCTTGTACATGAATTAGACAAGATATGATAACAAGGATTTCAAGGTGAGATAAAAATGGTATAATTGCAAGCAATTCAATAGCCAGCTTCTTGACTTCTAAGATTACTTTGAATAACATTTAGCAACAATAGCTCTAAGAGAGTCATAAAAATATCTAAGAAAATATTTAGTGCAAGGTAGTTATAGCTTTTGCTTATTTATGTAAACCTCTTAACCAGTTCTTGAGAGATAAATGAATAAATAAATTATATGACAGACTGTCTTAACTCTGAGGTTTGCCATCTGCAAACTGGGCAGCTATTTATTAGCATAAATATTTCTTTTACTTTTATTACTTTGTAATTTTAAAAAACTTACATACAGTTAAATGGACAGGTTGGCTTTCCGATATGTTGTGAATTATAGGTTAAGGTTTTTTTTTTCATGTGAATGTTCAATTATTCTAATACCATCTGTTGGCAAGACAATATTTCTCTGTTGAATTAGCTTTGTAACTTATTAAAAGTTAACTGGCTATATTACTGTAGGTCTATTTCTGGACTCTATTCTATTTCATTCATCTATATATCTGTCCTTTCACTAATATCAGCCCATCTTGCTTACTATAGCTTTATAGTAAGTCTTGAAATTAAGTAGTGGAATCCTTCAATTTTGTTTTT